TGCACGTTGTATCTATATAAACCCAAACCAAGGAGCAGGAGGGAGAGCTGGGGGAGTGACAAATGCCCGGTTCATTGACTTTCTCCCACCACCTGGTGACCCATCTCCTGGCTCTCTGGGTCTCCTCATACGTAGGCTAGTGGGAGAAATGTGTAATATTGAAAAGATGAGGCTGAAAGGATCGTTAAAGCTTGTGGAGGGGCAAACTCTGTCTTCTTGATTAACTGTGCATAACCGTGAAAAGGTCATCCAATTTTTCTTCCTTGTCATCATTTTTATATAAATCCTCTAAGAATCAGCAATAAAATGCTTTGTCCTTTTAAAAATAAATCTCCATCAAATTGCCATGCTTCTGCATTTCCAGACAACAGGTTACATGAAATCAGGCTAATTCCTGCAACTGTGCTCAAAACAACGTGTCTCCTAGCATGGACTGCACGTCAGGTAAACTGAGGCATGTTTCCACAACCCCAGTTTGGAGCTGTTTCCATCGTGTGTGTTTGGGGTAAAATCTCCTCTGCAGGAGAGGGTATTACTGCAGCGGCCGATTTTCCTCACGACAGAAGAGCACTATAGGTGATGCAAAAATATAATTTTCCTAATTCGTATCAAAACCCAAGGGACTGAAACATTGTCTTAGGAGCCAAGTGGCTAAAAAAGTTCGTCAGGGGCTTGCTTCAAACAGGAATTTTCTTACTGTCTAGTCCTCCTAAACAATTTGCTTACTCTTCCCACCCTCCTTTATTATTTTCTTCTCAGGCAAGCTTAAGAGGAACTTGCAGGACTAAAGTGCACATGGAGCAAGTCGTAGTAACCAGACTATCCTTCCTTACACATGATTTTTTGAAGTGAGGATGCGGCAGTGAGGTTGTCATAGAAACAGCTGCATCCATCACCCCCAGAATGGCAAGAGCAGACTGGTGTTCCTCATTCAGAGCGAAATGCGGGCAGGGTGTGATTCCATCACTCCTCCTGAGACAACGGGCAGTTGTGGGAATTAAAGGCACTCATCTCCAAGGATGAGCTCTCCTCCTGGTGCCTCCCAGTTTGGGTGGAGACATTACGATGTGCGACGCCTGTTCCCCGAGCAGACCCGCTGAAGCTTTTCTTCAGGCAAACTTTCTGTGACGGAACTGGTTGCGAAAGCTGTCAGTGGTGTAAAGTAGCTCTGATGCATTTGGTGATGAGCATGTTCCCAGAGCAGGGGGAGCTCAAAGCCTCAGGAAACAAAAGGAGCTTGGAGTGAGCAGCTGCTGCAAGGTGGAGCATTGAAGGCAACCTTCCTCGCCCGCTTTCATAACCCGTTTGGTTAATTGTGCTTAAGCGTCAGTTTAATAGCTTGAGCAACAACAGATCAAAGTACAGTTTGCTCACAGTGTGGGTTCATCAGTCTGCTCGGATACATGGGCACACAAAATATTTTATGCCTGTTAACTTCGTGTATATAAACTCTGAACGGGAGGACAAACAGCAGATAGCTATTTTCCAAACAAACTTCAAGAAATTTTCCACGAGTATGTTTATCAAATACTACACAGTTACTAAATAACATGCAGCGATGTTATTCATGGCAACCCCAGCCCTAATTGTTTGTTCACAGACATAGTAGCTGCACCGGGCTCTCGCTGTTGAGCCAGTTCTGCTCATTCCTGTTCAGCCGGGATGTGTTTCTCCATGCTGTGAAGTGCCCCCTGCCCCTTTGGAGGTCAAATATACAGAAACGAGCTTTGCACTGGTCCTGCAAACAACCCTTACATGAGAAATTTTTGGATCTGCTTTAAAGGTTCTCCAGCGCTCCCACTCTCAGCCTGTGGCGTGGGACCTCGCCATCAGACACATCCGAGGAATAAAACTGGCCACTAACGAGCACTCTGCGTGGCCATAAAGTTGATGCTGCGACTTATTACTGCTAAGACTGAGGTTGGGATGCAATTTCCTTTGAGGGGCCAGCAGAATGAAGAGACTACCCAGAAATTACCTGGAACAATTGCTCAGGAAAAAAATTAAAAATAATTTCCACTTCTCCATGGGTTATTTTGTAATTACGCTGCAAATTACCTCAAACTGAATCTTGAAAAACAATAGAAAACTGCCCGTGTTCAGATGTTTAAGACACAGCTGGTGCTACTGGCTGTCCTGGTGGCTGTTTACTAAGTAGACTGAATCAAAGAGCAGCATTTTAAGTAGATACTGTACGTACCGTGTGCCAGAGGTCCAAAAGCAGAGACAGACTTCTGAAAAACCTCACCTGGTATCTTGGTGCTGTGTCTGCCATGTCAGTACTAAATTTTATAGTGCTCTGTGACATGGTATAAGGCTGAAATTATTAGACAGTTGTTCTAAGCTTCAGTAGCAGAAAAAATCAATTATTCATGATAAAAATTCTACACACGTATTATCTCCCATTTCTCTGTAACCGTCTTTGCTCTCCTTGTAGCGTCATCCTGTTTTTAATGGGTCTGTCACTCCTGTTTTTTCCTGGATATCCCCGTACCAGGCATTATAAGATATCCTTTATCACAACATTAATTACTTTCTCTACCTGTAAGCAGGTAAGAAAATGGTCAGACTTCCCAGAAATTAAACTTTGTCTTCATAATCAGAAATCTCTCAGGATAAGAAACACAAAAGAAAAATTCTAAAGAAGTCAAAAAAGTCCTGACTTTTCTTACAAATGAGCAGGTAGAGCTCAGGACAATTGGAAGCTATAACTCACCTGTGACCCCAGCTGACATGAGAGCCAGCTAAAATACCTTTTAAAATATTTCACATATGAATTGCGGAAAAATAATATAAAAACATATTTACGTGCTAGTGCAGGGGCTTTAATTATTTTTTTTAATCTGTAATTAAAGAAAAAAAAATACTGAAAGTTGAAGCTATTCCACCTGATTCTCACTCTTACACCTTGCTCTTACTCATCTGTTTCCCTGCGAATAGGGCAGTGATTACCCTCCTGCCAATGTGTTAGGTTCACCAGAGCTGAATTTGCCTTGATTGGCCTGAAGCAAGGGCAGGCTAATTTAGTTCACAAAGGTAAATTAAACGGATTGGCTCTAATTAGGGAAAGCTCCATTTACAACCCAATATGGGGCGTAAGGTTATTTGTACTCAGCACAGTCTTGGGGAAGATAACAGCCCTTTCCTTCTCTCTGATGCAAAATTCTTCAATCAAAAGAGTAGTTTTGGGTCCTGGACTGCGTCTGCGCTAACCATAACCCAAATTCCACTTTTTTTCTTCTTTAGCGGGTGAGTAAGGTCAATTTGAACACGTTGCTTCTTTCTGTACTTTATGAAATGTTTCTGTAAATATTCCCTGCAGTCTAAGACCTGCTTCACTGTCTTGGTTCTCCCTCTATTTTACGCGTACACCTAGAGACGTACACGTGAAAACAAGCAGCACTGTCTAGAGGTCAGGGCTAAACGATAAAAATTCTTTTAACCCCTCAGCTCTGAATACTGGAACACCCTTTAAAGCATTCAAATCTTCTGGTGCAGCTGAAGTCAAGAAGAAAGGTGCCTTAAGAAAGGCAGAATGATGTTTTCTGTCTACAACGATGACCTCCGGTCGCTGTTTTAAGTCTTGCGCACAGAAAAGCGGAGTAGAGCCACATTTATTTTGGTGGGTTTGGTTTGGTTTTTTTAAAATCTAGATGCCATTTCTCTCCAATAAGGTTTCGACGCCAGGACTATAAAAATATAATTACGAAGAGGAAATCTATTAAAAAAGCAAAACAAAACTCTTGAACACAAAGGCCATAAAACAAGAGGCTCGGGTCAAAAGCCCTCACTGACGCAGCCGGTTTTCAAAGAACTGGTGGCTGCTTTTAGCAGGAGGGCAATTGCCGAATAGTTCTCTGCACATCCTGAGTTCAGCTAACACAAACAGCTGTCTGTGAGAAAAACAGCGAGGCTAATGGCCTCTCCTCTCTGGCTAACAGAGCAGGGTTATTCACAAATCTATGCTGGCTAGGGGTTTTTTTTGGTGTGTTTTATGCTTTTGGAGTGGGTTTTTTTCCCCTTCTCTCTTATCAGCTGCTTTTTAAAAGTTAAAAACTGCAATACAGGAAACCATAATGGAATTCTGTTCTTTGTCATCTTTCCCCCCCCTCCTTTTTTTTTTTCCGACATGTCACCTGTTTAACCACACAGCCTACTAAACTAACGGCTGAATGATTATTTGTTACGTTGCTCTGCTGGAGCAGATGAATCTGATGTGTTCTCCATTACAGGTAATAGGTCAAACACATGCCTTGCTTCCAGGGAATAGTTGGAACCGATCAAGAGCTCAATTCAACATCCGAGTGCTTAAGCTGAAAGTCGCGATTGCTACTCACGAGCTGTTGTGTGTTTGTTTTGTTTTGTTTTTTTTTCTCCCTAAAAAAAAATAATCTATTGACTTGAAGGTTACAAATCCTCGGACTCATTGGTTACATAAGCGGGTGTCACGGACTGGGGCTGTTTTTGCCAATAGGCAGATTGTCATCTAACCTGCGCAAACTTATTTTTTTAACTAATAATGTTTGAGCAGCTTAAAAGTCTATCATCTGTTTCCTCATGTGATCTTATGTCAGGCACGCAGTTTTATAGCTCATTTCAGGCTGCCTGAAAATACTAGCGAGCTATAAATGTTATATCTGTATATGTTATTATTATTATTCACAGAAAACATTAACTCCATATATGCACTTATCAGGATGAAAACCCCAAATACCGCTCTCTGTGCTAGTAATGTATATATGATACAGACACATCCTAGATGTAATGAATTACTTTTAAGCTGTGTTTTAAACTCACTATACTTTTACAGGCAAGGTTTTATAGAACTTTTCACGGCAAGGCTCAAAGCCCATCATGATACTACACTACTGCATTTTAACGCAAATAGACGAAGACACAATGAATATGGTACTCTCTGTATAATATTATCCATGTATTTTATATGAAAGATTCTAGACTACATTTTTCTTGCAGGCTTTGCCTAGCTAGTACGGAGATTACTACTGGTAACCTGCTAATCTAAAAACAACAGGGTAGTGTTTGCGGTGGGCCATGCACTTTTGCCTGTCAATAAAAATGCTGTTTGTTTTCACAGCTATTTCTTTTTCTAAATTCATCCGTGTGTCTTCCAGGTTCCTCAGAGCCTGTTCAGATTCCAGCAGTTTTTTCTTCAGGGATTCAATGGATTCTGTTAGTCGTTCAACTTCACTGATCAACCTGGACAGAATTACATTAAATAATAATAAAAAAAAAAGCAGATGTTCAAAAAGACGTATGAACTGTAACAAGAGCAAAGACCAACAGCTACAGAACCCTAATACTTAACAACAAAGGAGCTCAGAGAGGTCTTTCACAGCTTCTGTACAGAAGTCTCCCCTTTTTTAGGCAGTGCCAAGAATGTCTTTTGCCACTAAGCCTGGCGGAACTACCCATCCTCACCTTCTTCCACTGTGTAGGACACTTGTATCAAGAATTAGGGACAAAAACTGTCACCTAGTCTGATAGGATCAACATTTCCTTAAGCCTGGGTTTTTTGATACTTGTTCACCAGTATAAAACTCAAGTATTAAAGATGATACCTACACCAGACCTCATAAACAGTCTTTAAGAGCATATAAGGTTTCAAGAAGCAGCAGCACATCATTTTGCAAAAAAGCAGCAAACCATTTTCAAAGCAGCAGATCGTTTCAGCTCAAACCCAGTGGGGGTTAAGCGCTTTACCTTGATCCGCCTGCAGAGAAGGCACATATGTACTACCTGGGAAAACAAGATCCCCGTGTGCTCTGCAAACCCAGCAACTACAGACAGTCTAAGCCTGGCAATTAAACACGTGCTCATTCAGCAAAGGACTTTCCTGTGCCCTTAGATCCCATTAAAGGCAATGTACATACTGGAAAGCTTGCACATGGATGGTTTGCTGAATCAGGACCTCAAACGAGCATGCCTGAGATGGCATAAAGCATCTGGATTAACTATAACTTCTTCCTTACTCTGTCAGAATAGAGTAGTGGCTTTTTATGGTAGGCACCTCCGCTGGGAGGATATTGTAAGGCTGCCCATCCTCTGCTTTTCCTACGAGTAGGAAAATGCGACGGAGGAGAATCAATTACAAAGCTTGTAACGAGGTCCAAACTGACACATGTGACGTTGAGACCCTCAATTTGAAAGGATTTGTTGACCTCCAGTTTTAAAACGGATTATTGCTGAAAATCAGATGCCAGCAGCTCGATGCTTCCTAGCACGGAGGCCTCGTTTCAGACTGCATGTGCAGCCCGTTTACATTCTCAGCGCTTGAAGTGCAGTTCATTCAGCACGCGGTCCACCTTCTGGTGAACTTTTGTAAACAGCGAAAGGGCTGTCAGATTATTACATGCTGTCAGATTATTATTTTTTTTTAAATCATCTACAGCAAAAAGACACCACACAGCTCAGAGAAGAAAGCGTACAGACAGAAGGCCGAGCTGAGGCTATAGATTTTCTGTTTGTCAGTACGTTAGGTTAAAACACTATTTTCCTCACAGTGATGCCAGTCAACTGAATTATTCCTGACTTGTATCAGAATCAAACCTAGTAATCAAAGCTACAGGCTATATGTTGCTGATAAAAACGGAAAAACTGTCTAATGTCATTGCTGGGTAAAAAGACACCTTGGAGGACTTGATTAGCATCGTTTACCTGAACTGCGTTTCATCTCTGCAGAGCTCTACATTGGGCCTAAAAGACCTGTCATAGAGTCTTGTTTGAGCAACTTTCATTGGGGCTTCTTTGTCTTTGATTGCTTGTTTGAGTGCAGCAATGTTAGCTTCTTGATCTCCAATCTCCTTAAGGGTCTGAAGAGGACACCCAAGAAAAAGAACTGCTTAATAAAGCCATAATGCTATAGTCCTGGCAAACTATAGTTTTGACCTTCTATTTGTCCAGAATATAGAAGAAATAGAAGTACAAAGGTCATATTTGGCTTCGTTATTTCTATTACTACACTGAGAGCCTGATCTTTGGTTAAAAAGAAGCAGAAAATATTCTGTAGTCTGTTCAAAAGAACTGTTTAATAAAGCCATAATGCTATACATCTGCTCACAGTCCTGGCGAACTATAGTTTTGACCTTCTATTTGTCCAGAATATAGAAGAAATAGAAGTACAAAGGTCATATTTGGCTTCGTTATTTCTATTACTACACTGAGAGCCTGATCTTTGGTTAAAAAGAAGCAGAAAATATTCTGTAGTCTGTTCAAAAACTCTCCCATGTCTCCGGACAACACATCCCACCTCCACAAATTGCTTTTAATTGTAAATTTCTAACTGCAAATCATGCAAGAAAAATTCAAGGGATTTTGAATGAGACTGAGAACTGCTGATCTGATTGGAAATGAATGGATTTCTGGTATTACTGAAGAAAATGGAAGAGACAGGAAATAGCAAATCCCTTCTCCATCATAACCATTGACAGACATGCAAAAAATACCCAGTGTCATTACCCAACAGGTGCTAAGGAGTGACTGCTTTTTTCACACAGAAGTGGGAGCTGCTCCATACTGGAGAGGGAGCAGAGGTTGAAGACACCTCGTGACTGCTGCTGTTGCTACTACTGCAGCACAGCATGGCTTTCATTCCATAAAAATGATAACCAGGCTAGCCTGGGAACCCTGGCCCAAAGATCAGCTCCTTGATCACACCATTTTAGGTTTTAGTTCAGCAAGACATTGAAGAAAGTGTTGAATTTTCTTAATTTTTAGGTCCATCTCTTGTTTAAAGAACAACAACAGATAGCAGAAAAAGTTGAATTGGAGCCACAATCCAGCTCTGAAGACTCTTACCAGACACTAAGCTGACACAAAATAGTGTTC